AGAAATTATGCAGTGGGAATACATTCTTCCTAGGAATGTGTTAGGCAATGGTCACAGCTGGGTATGCTTCCAGTTTAAGCAGTGCCCCAAAAACCACTGAATGGGATGGAACTCTCTATTAACTTCAGTGAGTTTTTAATCAAGCCCAACTAAGTCAAACAGCAAGATTTAAAGACAGCTGAGGAAGTTCACAAGACAGTAACTTAGACTGCACAAGGCCAGAGGATCTGGAAAAAACCCAAACGTCAGTGAAGGGACTAATTAGAGGACATGAAAAGCTCACTCCCAAGTCTTGGGAATTTCATTATCTTCTGTGATAACAGGACTCAGAAAATGCAAGCAATGATCTGAATCAGTTTCTAACTCAAGTGCAAATTTACTGTGAGCTTTTTAAAAAGCTTGGGGTTTTGCTCAGTGATGCCACAAGACCTCTAAGTAGTCTTTTTTTTCTTTTATCTTTTTTTTTTGTTGGGTCTCTTGGCTTTCTAGCTGGTCTAGAATTGCTAGCGTCAGGACTTCTGTCATCCAAACTCAAGCAAATTGCCAAACATTAATTTTGGCATCAACTAAGGCATGTCCCCTACAGATGCAGAACTCAATCTCCACATTCTTGTTCTTTAAAACATAAACCAAAACAAACAAAACTGTTTTCTTATTTGTGTGCTTAGCAAACTATCATTCTCATAAGCATGTAAAATTCTTTATATAAAATATATTCTTTTTTGGATAAGTTTCCCTGGCTCCAACAAAAAATAGAAATCCAATATTTGAAAGTTAACATTTTCAATTAATTTTACTTGCTTAGTGTTTCTGGAAAACAAGGCCAGCAAAGCATATTGTATTCTGACAAGAGTACAGTATACCACTAAAATCAAAGTTAAGATCAGACACAAAGTGGTTTGAACTTCATTGGTATTATAAAACGAAAAAGGAAACCTACAGATACAAAAGTTTCAGGCCCTGGGTCTCAGTATGCTTAAATCTACTTAGTTGTGTAAGAATGAAGATAAACATTAATAATTATATTAATAACTTGTTACAGATAAGAATTTTCCTTCAATTTTTCCTCAATAAAAAATAAAAAATTGGGATCTTTTGCACAAGTGAAAGCAATGAATATTTGACCTGCCTAGAGAGAATATATTTTGTAAATGAAAGAGACACATTGGAAGTGAGGATTTAGCAGAACAAATCTTAAATTACCAAGCACAGCAGAAAATACTACACTGAAAAGTGAAATAATGTTAACTACTTGCAAATGGAGCAGCATAAAAATTATCAGTAGCACTAAGAAGGTGAATGACGAATTTTTGCTGCAGCAGGTACAGGTTTGCTTTGTTGTCAGGAAGGTGCATACACAGGTATGTATTGCAAGCAACTAGATCACCAAATTAAGGAGTAAACTGAGGCTACTGATCTGAAGAAAGAGAAGAGCAACAGGACACAATAGTGTGGTGTTTTCACTCTGCTTACTGCCCTGATTCTTCATGGAAGAAGATGCTTTTGCATCTTCACAAAGACAGTGAAAAAGAAATTAAAAATACCTGATTTAATGATTCAAGACTTCTATTTTTATAGAAGCAATTAATGCTAAACTTTCCTCAGAAAGAAGTCTGTCATCCAAGACTGGTCATATTCTAAAAGCCACTGCAGACTTGACTCAATTGCCAAAATAGCACATGAAACCTTGAGCTATTTGTCCCACAACACCCTAACCCCTTCTATCTGCTAACAGAGCTATTGCTCTTCTACCCTTTGACCTATTGGCCAAACATCTTGGATTCTTGCCACAAGGCACATGGCTTAAAATTCTTGATGTGCTTTCAGTGGCTTATGCAAATTTTGTCCACTAGGATGGCCTTATTGGAAAAAAAAAAAAATTGCTGTGGAAGTTACATAAAACAAAGGGAATAAATTTTCCTTAGCACATTGGAGCCTTATACATGAATCTTCTACATGAATCCCTCCAGGGATGCAGAAGAGGTTCTGTTGTAAATATTGGATGTTGACAGTATTAGAAGGCACATTTCATTGAAGAGTTGGAAAAATTATGAAAATATTCAGAGGAATAGGTGGATGTTGTACAAATACTGATAATACAATGGTAAAGAATTAAGTAGGAACTGGTAATAAAGAAAACACAATCAATTAAGAAAAGACACATCTTGACATGCTAATATAGTAAAACTTTTTGTGGTGTAATAGAGCACATTATACTAGAGTGTATGCCCATTATCTGCAGCTTATGATAGAGACTTATATCAATTAAGAAAGTGGCATTTCCTCTTGGAGGGAAAACACTTGAAGTAGTATATTTTCTGAGCATTGCTCCATAAGTACTTACAGAAAAGTAAGGGGGGTGAGGGGAAAGTACCTCTGAATACATACCAGATAATACCTGCAGTAGATGGAAATTTGTTAAACATTATCACATATAATAAGCCACAAAATAGAGATGTTACATATAGAGAAAATATTATTATATAACTCAATTTGCTGAAGGCTTGATTTTGGACAAAGACAAATTTGTATTTGTAGGTTATCAGATAATACAAAAAAAGTTGTTTCCAGAACACAAATTATTGCTATATTGGTAGGAGCACCAAGAAATTTGAGGGGAAGGGGTAAAAAAACTGTCATGTGAAGTAAATGCCATTTCCTTACAACAAATCTTTGTTTGACCTTCCAAAAATTCAGTTCAGCAAAATCATATATTAAAGGTGTTTGAAGTCTGAGAAACTCCCTGGGCTGAGGTCTTCAGCTGAGGGTAGAAGCTGTACTACCTCCCACAGCTGCAGAATGCCACTGCCATTGGTCAGGGTCTAATAGCACTGGCTCTGCATTCTGAGTAGCTCCATCCTATTTGAGACAGCGGAAGCTAAAGGTAAGTTTTGGCACTTCTCTCTTAGGTGAATTTTTATCGCTGGAAATACTAGTATTTGTTTTATTTTATCATGCTTAATACTGATTCAAAGCTCGCAGATTGTGGAGACTATTTATTTTTCCCTGGATATGTCTTAGTTCCTTCCTGTGAGAGGTGTGCATAATCTTCATCAAAATATTTGATCTTACAGCTACTGCAGATGCCAATATTTCTACAGTGCATTCCAATATATTTCATGAAAGGGAAATAGAGACATGCAAACACTGCAAATTAGTGCAGATAATACAGCCATAGGTAAACTTTTTTTTTCCAGAGATATTTGATGGGTTTGTCTCTATATATGCAAAATTTAATACTTATCAAGCCTCATACCCTTTAAAAAGCTTTAATTTTTAGGAGTTGTGGCATGCGAGCAATTATGCATAGTGAAAAATTTTTTATTTAAGAATTGTTTATTCAGAGGAAAAATTACACCATATATGTTAGTACTACATTTTGGGTTGATAGATAACATCCTCTATTGCTGAATCATCTGAGATAAATGACATAGTAAGGAAAAGCAAGACCAAAACCAATTCTGTCAAAAATAGGCAGCAGAAAACAAAGACCGACAAAAATCTGCTAATTCTAGCATACTCACTTATTTAAGAGATTGATTGCATTTCTATTTTATTTTAATTTATTTAATTTTTTTTATAAAGCAGAATACTTTTATTAATATTGGAAGCTAATACTGAAAGGTGAAATTCATCTAAGCTTTCTCGAAGAGAAGACCCAGTGACTCTAGCTTCTTCCAGCAGCAGCCGAAGTCTTTCTGAATAATAAAAATGAGAGAAAAATGAACGCCTTGTGTTACTGACCATCCCCAGAGGAATTTCATATCCTCATGCCTAAACCAACTTTATAAAGACCTCTTTTCATGAAGCTAAAATTCAGCTTGTTGCCCAGTACATACATTAAAAAAAAAAAAGTCTCATGTATTTCTTGTACTTTATTATAAGTAGCTACAATTTTGAAATTAAATATTTAAGACTGTGTATCACGGCATCGCATAAGGAATACAGTTTATTAGACTTATGCATTGCTCATTATCTCTGTGCTTTTAGTGAAATTAATGTGAGCTGTAGATAAATAAAGATGTAAGTAAAGAACATTGAATAGAGCCTTGTGTCAGGCATCTTATATGATAATAATGAATGCATCATTTACAAGGAAAAGGGAATGCATAAATACTGCTTCTCAAGCCTAGCATGAATTTTTCTACCATTTTACAATTATGGAACCTTAAATAAGTGATAATTCAATTTTATAGAACTTTAAATAGGTGATAACTCAGTTTTACAATTCTATTTTCCAAGGAGAACAGGTGAATACACCACACCACAATTTCTCACTACTTCAAAAATGGTTTTGATTGAATAACGAAGGAATTCAGAGTACTGGTGTTACTGTCCTTGGGCAACATATTATTTTTTATTTTGCTCCCAAGGCCTTTGCAAATGTATGGTCCAGATGTGCCACACCAAGTAAAATTATGTTCTGACAAACCAACTAACAGGTGAAAAGTGTTTTGATTATGCTTATCCAGAAATGACAGAGTTTCTAATGTTTTCTAACAGGCTGGTTGTTTTGTTTGTTTGTTTGATTCTATTTAGTGTTTTTTATGATGGAGGAGAGATATAATATTACATTTTTATACATTCCAAAAGATTATTTATTGTGATAGAGACAAGTAATATAATAATTTACCTTTTCTCCAGTTTCTCAAAAGTTCATATCGAATTGCAATGAAAATAGGTCAAGTTAGATGAAAGGGTAAAAATATCATTCAGATGTTTATTTTTACACCAATAAAATTCCATAGGTCTTTTCTAAATTATATGAATATGAATATGGCCAAAGCAGTATGCAGAATTCTCAGCTCCAGGGACTCTTCATGAAGAAAACCAGATTAAACTACTGAGTCACCATAAATAAATGTTAATTATTCATCATAAATATTGTGGGGTTTATATATAAATATATATATATATACACACTGTATTTGTGACATGGTACTCAACACCAGGGTACCTACCATCTGTCCATTTTCTTCTCTTTCAGAAAAGAAAACAGAATGCAGACCTTTGTAAATGTTTTTTTGGGATTTTTTATCTTCAAGTCTGTTGTAGCTGCCCCTATCAGTGATACCATAATTTATGATTCTGAGTTCTATGACATACCACTTGGAGAGCTGCCTCATCCTTTTGCCCATGATGAAAACAAGCAGTCTGACCAAGTAGAGGTAATTAGAACTTAATTTATTCTGTCTTTCCAAAGTGCATAAATGCAGTAGTTACTGATCAGATTTTCTTTGCCATGAAAATACTTATCTGACAAATCTACCCATGGTTTCTATTGCCTTTGCAGTTCATTCACCTTTTCCCTAACTTACAAACACAGACAAAATATATTCTAATTGTTCTGGGCTTTATTTGTGGTAATCTTTAAGAGTAGGTGAAAGGTGCCATGCTTTCCTCAGGTCTCCATGAAATACCCCAAATTCTGTTGGAGATCGTCATTGTAATTTATTTATCTGGGTGATGCATGGAGGCAGTTGAGACAAGATTTCCAGCATTTCCCGTTAAATGAGGTTGTAAAATGCTGTTTCCTTAGGTTTATGTTCACTACAAGTGTGTCAGGCTATAAATGCTAATGTTTTCTCTTGCTGCTAGGAAAGTGGCAGAAGGAAGAAAAAAGAAAGGGAAAGCATTTGAATTTAAACACAGGAAAGTAAAAAAAAATAGTGAAAAAAATCTGTTGAAACTCTGATACAGTACAAGTGGATAAGATATGTCACCTGTAGAAGCAAGGGACTCCACTTCTTGACTTAAATGTTTCCTTCCTCTTCTACAATCCTTTATTTCTTTACAATTACTAAAAGGCTACATTAATTTTTTTTTCACCCTGCTGATTAGACATTGGCACAACTTCCCTGAAGGTAATATAAGCACTCTGTGATTCAGGATTGTGTGTGATAGAAGTTGAGTAAAAAATATAACATTTATATAACATGGTATTTTCATTTTTATACATAATGTTTTGGTGCTTTTTCACATAACAATGCATAATTCATGAAAATACAATCCTTTGAAAGATTCATGATTACAGCAGGAGGGACAGGAGCTCTTCTTTCATCAATGTGAAATAGAAATTGGATAACAGCTTTGAAATCAAAGGACAGGGACAATTTAAGAATAACTATACTCCAAAACAGGAGAACTGAAGAGATAAAAATAAAGTTAGCACTAAGATCAGAACCTTATAATTTGTAGGAAATAAATTTTCAATCTAAGAGGGATTGAGAAGAACTTTGCTGCAAGGAATTTACCTTGCCTTTGGCCTGTTTCCCTTGTGCCACTCTTGTGCTCTACTTAATTCTGATTCAGCTCACTTTCCTGATAAAGTCACTACCAATTTTAGTCCCTGTGCTCTATTTCACATTGATTAATAAACCATGGTTTCTGCCTCACTTTGCTCTTAGAAACGAAGCCTTTATCATTCCTACAGAAATTACTTCCTTCCCAGAAATGGGAGAAGTTATTTTGAATGTGCCTCATCACTGAGTTTTTCTCATTCAAACAACAGATTTCTTAGTAATGCATTTAATGGTAGGTGGGATTCTCCTGTGCTGTGCTCTCTCTGCGAGGTCCTATAACACCAAAACATGGGGTGGCCTTTCCAAGTTTCTGAGTAAAGGATAAAGCAAGGCTTTGATGTTCTTTTCCATCCAAAAGGAAACTCAGGATGACTGATGTTGCACCCAACATGAAAAGATACGAGATCCCAACATGGATTGTTTTTTTCTAGAAGGCATGGAATAGGCAGAGTCAGGGTCGACTGGTAAGCTTCTTTTCCAGAGCAGGATTATCTTCCATTACTGAGCTCTTCAGACAGCCTTTTTAAAATTCATCAGGTAAAGTTCATCCAACACAGCAGTTGAACAGAGTTTTGTTTTGCCTATGGATGGACCTCACTGTGAGAGCCTTATTTTCATAGATGTTTAGCCAAAATCTTTTTTTTTGCTTACATTCCTAATACCATGTACCACCCAAGAGAATCCTAAGCATTCATAGTTCCCCATATCCCAGGAGATATGAGTGGTCAGGGCTGTAGAAATCAAGCAAATTTTATAGACATGTCAGTGTGCTATTTGATAGGGCACGTCAGTCTTGCAAGTTACATTTTAATCACTGATATTACTGATGTCACCCAAGTTTTAAGCAGAATATGTTTGATTCCTTGATTGTGGTTATGACTTTACTGCTTAAAATCTTGTTATCATAAGGATGTGAACAACACAAATGGATCTATGTGTAAAATATTTATTCAAGGTCACAGGTTAGTTTTTATTATGCATAGTTTGCATGATGAGCAATACCACAGAGACCCAGACAACCAGCAGTCCTTCAACAGATCTAGCCTGTGTGCAGTAACTCTTTAAGACTTGAATTTCCATTTAGAGTTCTGAATCATGTATTCAGGCTATTGAAGCAGTGGAGAAAAAACTCAAATAGCATTTTCTGTTGTTGCTGTCTTCAATTTAAGATTTGAAAATTCAGTTATGTGCAAATAGAAGCCATTCTGTTTAATCCATTTTTAGACTCATTGGCTAAAATGCAAACTTTAGCAAGGTTGTGCACCCAACTGATTAGCAGAAGGTCCAGGAAACTGACAAGTTCTAGTACCTCAGATGCATTCAGATGTTACTCCTGATAATTTCAATGTGAATTCAAGTAAAATTAACCTGTGCACCTCTAGGAGTTAAACTAAAGCACCTGTGTCAAAATGTCCTTTTCCAGACCATTAGGTACTGTAATCACACATTCAATGTTTAATCACCAAAGTGTGGAAAGACCTGAAGAAAATTAGAAAGGGATTCTTTCCACTCATTCTATCTTAAAAATTAGGCTTGGCATCCCAAAACCATGCTCCAAGACAAGAATGAATCATTCTCTTTGGATATCTGTTGAGGTGGGTTGATCTTAGCTGGCTACCAAGGTGACCATCAAAATGCTTTCTCACTCCCCCTTCTCAGACAGACAGGGAAAGAAGTCAAGGTTAAAAACCTGGGAGTTGACATATATGCAGTTTAATGAAGAAAAACATAGGTTGCATGCAGAAGCAAAGGAAAACAAAAGATTTGTCCTCTACTTCCCGTCAGCAGGTAACGGCCAAACACTTGCAGGGAAGTAGGACTTGAGTACGTGTAGCAGGTACTCCTGATGACAAACACCTTAATAATAAAGCCCACCCCCTACCCTCACTGCCTCCTTTCTCTCAGCTCTTATTGCTGACCAGATACCATATTGAATATCCCTTTGCTCACCTTGGGTCAGCTGTCCTGTTTCCATCCCCTCCTGAGATCTTGACCACCCCTGCCCTACTGGTTAGAGAGGAATGTTGGAGAGACAGCCTTGGTGCTGTGCCAGCCCTGCTCAGCAGTCACTGAGCATTATCAACACCTTTTCAGCTGAAAACACAAAGCACAGCACTGAGGAATGCCATGGGGAAAGTTCATTCCACCCCATACACCTATCTTCCTCAAATAACTTTTGATGAACCCTAGACATGTGTTTCAGGCTTAGTATGAGAATTTATAATCTTAATACAGTTAAGTAAGGGTGACTGAGTCCAAGTTCATGACTTTGCTAATTCTCATACTCTGGAAGTATGGTTTCTTGTGTAGAGTGTATGTGTGTATATACACACCCACTTCATTGGATTGAAAACATTTTTCTGAAAACATTCCTAGATAATGGGTCTTGATGTTCTTCACTTGAGGTCTATTTTTGTCAAAGATTTTGGAATAATCTTAAGGCTGGGAAAAGTTAGTAATGTATACATGGAATACTTTTTTAATGCAAATATTTGCACGGGGGAAGTAGTTGTAGCTGTGAATTACTTGCGAGTATTGTATTGAATCCTCAATCAAAGCTACGGATTGTCATGCGCTAGGTGACATTATAGATTATAAAATCTATGGTTTCCAAGATCCCAGGTTAGTGAGACACAGAAGACCTAGCTAATGCCTTGCATCCAAATGGAAATTAATACTGGAACAAACTTAAAGTAATATATCACTCAGAAATAAAATGTGCATAGAGACATTAAGATAGCAGTATCAACACTTTCACAGATAATGGCTAAAAAAAGGCTGAGTAAAAGAAAAGCCTATTATCAAGGAAAGAATTCCAAGGTCCTCAAGGAGAAATCTACAGCAAAGAAATGTCACTGTAAGTGTAGAAGCTTTGTGTTGGATTTATCTTCTGAAACAGACAGTAACAGTATAAACATGAGCTGATGTATCTCCTCTTTTCTTCACAGTTCATTAGTATTTTGAATTAATATTTATATAATGATAGAGTCCAGAGGCCACAGTCAAAACTAGCTCTCCTAACTGCTCTGAAAGCATATACAAAGAGAGATTTCCTTCTTTAAAACAAATAGAATCAAGCCAGACTCTCAAAGGAATTATTATGTGAGCTTCTCACTTTTTGCCTCTTTGAAACTAAAACTTTGTTTGGAAAATATGTGAGAAAAACAAATTGCGGAGAGAGATTTTTATGTACATCAGCTACTAATGCCTAATAAAATAGCACTGCAATTTTATCACAGTGTCTGTCAAATATAATCAGTCAATTTTTCTTTAGGTAGGAAAAACTAAGAAAAATAAGAAGCAAAAATACAGGAGCATCAGAAAATTATTTTCATTGCTAAGATAAGCTATCAGTGAGGCTGAAAAGCAAAGGAGCACTTAATACGAATGGTTTGCCTAGCACTGAATAAGCAGAAAAGTAAGGGAGTTAAATACAGGTTGGTCTGGGTCTGTTTACACAAAAGAGGTGAGCTGTAAAATACAATCCACAAAACATTCAGAAAGAAATACAGTGAAAGTCTAATATTTGATGCATTTTGACTAACATTACTTGATAGCTTGTTGAATTTGAATCAACTAATAATAGGGCATTTTGGTGCCTGCACAAAGTTCAGAACTTGAGTTCCACACACATATTTGCTCATGTCTGTGTGCATATACACAAACCATCTCTCCTGTTGGCATAACACACGTGAAGAAGGAGCCATGCTTGAGCAAGAGCTCACTCTTGCCATTCTGCAGAGTTGACAGAGGCTTCCACTGCTGTTCCAGTCTTTGTGGTCAGTGTCTGATTAAATAGGAGACTTCAAAGTGGATATACAATGACTTTTCAGAATATCACATACATTTTTAAAAAACCCTATTAA